CCCACCTCAGTACAGAGATTCCCAAGTCCTCCTCCTAGGACTCCTGGGAGAAAGGGGGTGAGAAATGGAGCAGCAGGTACATAAGCATTATAAAGCCTTGGGTTTTTTTAATACAGAAAGTCCCCCCTCACTTTTTTTTTTATATCTAAAAGATTAATAATTAAATTGATTATTATAAAACTAACAAGGAATCCAGGAAAGTTGAAGATATTTGCCTAAAAACTATGAATTTGTGGATATTCCAAAGAACATAAAGAAATATCCATGCACTTCTCAGATAGACAACTTTTAAATGGAAGAAGTTGACTGAAATTTTACCGGATGCACAGTCCTCTGAAAGCCCTACCTGGCTTGAAGCCTGGTCAAAACACACCAAGAGCAGCATGTAAAAACAGTGGACATGAGGCAGTTTCAGCTATCATCTTTGCCACTTAACATATAGAAAACTTAACAGTCTCTTCAGTATCAGAACTCAACTCTATCCTCAAAGCAATCCTCACACCTCCACAGTTATCTAGAAATTGGCTGAAAAAAGCCCCGTGGCACTTTGCTAGTTTTGATATCACTGTTATATTGGATCCCTCTGTCTCTCTCCAACATCTCCGTTGTCCCCAGGTGACCCAGGACCTATAAGTGGTGAGCTGGTACACAGTGTTATGCCAGTGCTATCACACTGCAATGATAAATCCCACTTGGAATCACTCAGCTCACGGTTCCGCCTGTTCATGGACATCACCCTCCAAAACGTCTGCAGCTCAAGGCTCATACAGGGGAAAACACATTCCCTAATAGGGAAGATCTAGGATGGATCAGGTCTTTTATTCTTTTTACTTTTTCCACAATAGCCATAAAAACTTTTAGACTTTAGCTGGAATTTTGGGTTGGCTCTTAGCTTAAGTTTTTGAGGTACTTACAAATGCTAGAGGAACAACAACAGAAAAGCAAGAGAATTGTTACATTAAGAGTGTCTACATCCTAAGGTAACTTTAGCTATAATTTCATATAAGCCTTGGACTCTCTAAAAAAACAGAGAGAAAAAAAATAAAGGAGACAATGCAGAAGAGCCTCTTTCTCTTCATAGCCTAGTTTCCCCAGGGTGCTCTTCACCATTCTAGGTTAAAGTTAGCTGTAAAAAATATACCTGTTTCGCTCTCTTACTTCCTCCATGGCCACGTACTATGTTTTGGAGAAGACCACTGTGGTATCCGATCGCARGATGCACATACAGGCCAAAGAGACACAAAGGGTTTTTGCAGTAAGCAGGTTTCATATAGGTGTCTACTACTTTTTGAGTGATGATGGAAATACTCTCTATATATACACACCTATATACACATATATATACATAAATATTTTTATGAAACTATYTTTCTATTTTCATGTATATACATATATATAATATGCTCTCAATATCTYTATATGCAAACTCAGACACTTGGCTTTCAAGGAGTATCAAATAATGGAGTAAATATTTCTATACGGCATATGAACTGGGAAACAAGGAGCAGCAGGGATCGGTTGGGGGTGGGGGGGTTGCTCCACACACCTAAGCGAAGGCATCACCCAGAGAAASAGGCTGCAACCGCCGCCTCCGTGGAGCCGCCCATGCCCGCCACGTCCCTCCTGCCGCTCCCGCCTCGGCAGCCCGGCCAGGGCTCCCGATAACCGCGCCGCCTGACGGAGAAAACTCCCCCCGGGCCAGCGCCGCCACCTTCCGCGGCTGCCCGCCCTGGCAGCGGCCGTTGGGGCGCGGCCGTTAGGGACTGGCCGTTGGGGGAGGAGCCGTTGGGGCGCGGCCGTTGGGGGAGGAGCCGTTGGGGCGCCGCCGTTGGGAGAGGAGCCGTTGGGGCGCGGCCGTTGGGAGAGGAGCCGTTGGGGCACCGCCGTTGGGGGAGGAGCCGTTGGGGCGCGGCGGTTGGGGGAGGAGCCGTTGGGGCGCCGCCGTTGGGGAGCAGTCGCGACAAGCGCCGTGTGCTGCTTGCGGCAGGCGGGCTCTCCAAGGATGTTTCTCGAGCCGCTCCTTAGACCCGCTTCTTGCAGTGTCAAAACAGATCTTAAACATTTCTTGCCCTTTTCTTTTTTTTTTTTTAATAAAGGGTGCTGCAGCAAATTAATCAGCACCGTAAGAGGTATAAAATCTATGACGAGAGGAAAAGGGCAAAAGACCAGGCACATACGCAAGTGCATTGTGGTGAACACCAAAATCAACACCACAAAACCTAACAGAAAAGAGATGCTGTTTGAAACAGCTCTGCCCTCTTTTATTACCACCTTTATATCTGGACTTTGGTATTTTCACTGAATCCCCTGTAGCTATGAACTGTTGAGAGAGGTCAGAGTCTCTGTTTTTCAGGTTCAGGGCTTCCCTTTTAAGTGATGGTCTTAAATTTGAAACTCTTTAGGGAGGCAAATTCTCTTCCCAACTGATGAAAACTTAAATTAGCTTTTGTTAGATCATACTAATTGATCCACAAGCTTTTAAAAGGCTACTCAATATGCCATTATTTTCTTCCCCCAATTCTATCGTAAATAAATAGATTTAAAACACATTTTACATACTAACATTTAATCATATTAATCTGAATATGTTTTTTAAAATATTTTAATAATAAATCCTTTGCTTTAATAGACTATATCAGCCAGGATAAAAGGGCAGGGATTAAAGGGCAAGCAGGCCRCTACAGAGAGATTTTAGGGAAGACTGAGCACCAAGTTCCTCAACGGGGAAGGGAGAAGACGGTGCCGCCAGCCGCCCTGCAGCTTTGCCTGGAGGCTCCCACACCTGCAGGTGCCTGTGCTCCACCAGCATCTAATTAATAAATAAATAAATGCTTGACTTAAATCATGTGAGTGGAGTGGGGTGGTAGTTTCGGTCAATGGTAGTAAGCATAGCTCTGAAAGCAGAAGGAAACGCACACTAAGCCGAGGTGGCAGCCAGGTTTTTACTGGTGTCTTGACACGTGCACCGCAGTGAAGGAGCAAGCTGGAGCCAAGAAGCACACGTCCTAGGCACCGTACCAAGCTTAGGCTGCAAGCCACTGAGTATGAGAGACATAAACATGAAACGTTTGAGATGTCTTCACGCATCTTCATCTGCTGTTTTCATTCTCATTCCAGACAATTTGTTTACCGTTGGCTGTCTTAAAAGGGTCTTCTCAATATCAATTCCTTGAACTTTTGGGCTTTATGAATAATTAAATGCCTAATGAACCTAATAGGAAACTGGCTCCACTCCAAGTGATCTGGGGTTATGGGAGCCCTTTCCCTATGCTATTACCTAAGTGCAATGAGTCCATTGCAGACCCTGGGAAGGCTCTTCCCTTGCTCCCTTAAGAACAGTGAATGAGTGAGGTACTTAAATGATATACATAAGTAATAAACAGTACACCATCTCAAATATATATATTCTTTTACAGGGACCAAAACTTCACAATGAATTATATTAAGGAATGTACACTGGAAGAAGATACAGGTCTGCAGAATTGCAWTCAGGAGAGTGATGTCTACAGACAAATGTAAGTCACCACAAAAATAAAAAATAAAAACTGGATGCTGGAGGCTGTGCAGAATACAGCAAACTTCAGAGACCACAAGGCCAGAATGGCAAACAATGTAAAATTTAATATTGGTGGGATGTAACAAAAGAAAAAGATGGATGATGACTAGTCTCAAAAACACTAGTCACTAGCCACTAGTCTCACAATCTGTATTTTCATGCCATTCACTGGTCGTGTCAGACACTGTTAAATGAAGTAGGCCAAAGCGAAACCTTAGAACATTTCATCACTTTAATCACTGAACATCAGGTAAAGCCCTGAGGGCCTTCACCGCTTGTTRAGCAGTTACTTGAGATTGAACTGTATTTGTACAAAATACACAGCTCTGCTGGCTTTTTAGTATTTATACRTGCATTCCAGTACAAATGTTAATGATTAAGTTATCCACAAAAGGCATACAAAGTTGCTTGATAAGGTATAACTAACCCTTCTTATCCTTAGGACTTACTTAGCAAGTTATGATAAACATCTCAAGATGTCAGTTTGCAATCACAGTGGCTGCACTAACAACATGGAGCTACTGTGTGTGCATATATATATATATATACACACACATATCTGACAATTTATGGTAAGTCAAGCATTAATCAATACCACTCAAGTTAAAAGTACCATATAATAAAACACATGGCAATAGGAGAACTACAGTTCAGTTCTCAAGACTCACAAATCCCCACTTTGTCAAGTACTACAACAAAATCTAAACTGGTGTTTTTGCTTTTTGAATTAAAAATACACAGACAGATATTTTGGTATCAGTTTAGCAGGTTTGGGAAGACAAATATACAGGGAGGTACATATATATTGTGCTCACCATTTAGGAGTGCTTACCTGTGAGGTGTGCTTTCTTCCTGCATTTTCAAATTAAATCGATGGAATTTTTCTTCTTGTACTGCTTTTCTTCCCATGTAATAACAAGAAAAGCTCATTCCTGGAGCCCGCTACCAGTCAGGGCCCACAGGCCAGGATGTATGGCAGCATATGGACACACCGGTGCCTAACGTAACTACAGGGAACGGGTAACAGCTGGGCTTTAGCAGGGTTTCAGAGGGGAACAACYACATCTCACATTCATAGCTGTGTAGAATATTCCCATACAAGATGTAATGTGTTCTCCCAACAGATAAAATGCACCGTGCGAGCCAAGGCATCTGAGAGAGTGGAGTGTATTTACCACAAACGCATTAGAAGTAAGTCACCAGGCTCGTATTCTTGTCAGTTCTTTATTGGTTTTCATCCTAAAGACTAGCACATTTACAGCATACATGGAGTGGATGAACTAGGAATATATAAAACAGTAGCCATATGTTTATGATATATTAATACTGCCCGAAACCAAATAAATAAAAATATTTCAATGCACAAAGCTTGGCAAATACAATTGTGTTGGGACAAAACAGTGTTGTATTATACAATAATTTTACATGTATAAATGAAACAAAAGGCAACTGTGCTGTAGGTACTTTCACAGAACATACACAGAACATACTTGGCAACATCTTTTTTTACCTTTGTATGTTTTATAATTTAAAAAATGTACTCAAAAAGAACATTAGACAGAACTTCATTTTACAGTAATCCTTAAATTTGCCTCTCCTGTGCAACAATAAAGCTTACTTCACCCTTGTGAAGTTTCCTATACAGATTCCAAGTTTCACAGTTTTTCTTCCTCTGATGAACTGCTCAAGATCTTACTGCTCGTTCCGCCCTTTAAACAAGCCCATCGATGTGCATGTACTGACCACGCTGCATATAGAAAATGCCAGCTGAGCAGTGATGCTTTACGTGTAAGTACACTGAAATCGGAGCAGCTTAAGCAAAATAATGCAGAACTTGAGACTGATAATCCACCATTTAAAAAAGGAGAGCAAGCACCATGCACATACACAGCTTGGGAACTGTTCCTGATCGCAATAAATAAAGGATCTCCAAGCTCTAGAGTGGATCTGATGGTTGTTGGCCGTGTTAGTGGCCACGTTAGTAGCCAACGTAGGCCACGTCTCTGCTAATCGTTACGACAGACCTCATGTTATTTCTGTCTGAAGGTGAAGACTGGAAGAAGAGTTTTAGTGTAACAATATAAGCTTTAAAATATATAGTTAGCTATCTGTTTGAAATATACAAAATAAAATTATGAACTCATAAAAACTAAGGGATATAAAGAGTACAGTTTATACAAAAATAAATGTAGCATTTGATAATGCACCAGGGACTGAAGGTCAAGCAGAACTACAGGAGGACTGAGGCTGAAGAGATCTTCTTAAGAAGTCTCCCACCGTACATTTGTTTTACATATTGGTTACAAGAACAATCCAGTGCTTCCCTAACTGTGAAGGGAAGACTCTCCCTAAGACTCCAAGGGACTGCTCTACTGTAGATCATTTGTTTGAAACTAGTATAAGTACGAGAAACACACTGATTTTGTACAGAAATCGGGTGGTTCTCCTGAAAAAGACTGAACTAACGGGAACCGAGTCCAGCAGAACTCTCTGGCCTGCCTTAGTGATATGCTGCTGCTCAGTGATAAACTGCACGAAGCAAAATGCAAAAACCACTGTACTTAAAACCCCCAAACCTACATGGGAGCAGAATGGACATGGCTGATTGATAGAGCAGTGACAGCACAGACAGACATCAGTGAGAGGCAGAAAGAAACCAGGAAACAGCCATATACTTACCTGGCTGTTRCTACTCTCACGACAATAAATAACCAGATTTTTCTACTCTAAAGCTTATATCTTCAGCAACGAAGAGCACAGAGGGCTGAATTAAACTAGCGAGAGATGACTTAAGCTGTAAAGATGCAGAATTTGGACGTTAATATTTATCAGTGTCTTCAAAAGGGATGTTCTCCTCAAGGGCATTCTTTGGGGGGCTTTTTACAAGGAGGTCTGTGAAATGCATTTTATCTAATGCTCAACTAGTCACCTTAGTCACGAGCCTGAACACAGCTGAGGTTCATGGCCTGCCAGCAGGTAACGTGTAGGCAGTTATTTTGTATCAAAACAGGCCATCGCCACCTTCCTCAGAAATATTCTGAAAATAGTCATGTTTCCTACACATGATTCTGAACGGAGTCCAGCAAGGCAAAATGCAAAGCTAAACAGGGTTTTCTTTGTTGGTGGCATGGGGAAACAGGTAGGTGCTGGGCACTTGGAAAATGTTTGTATTGCCAGATACTGAAAAAAATTAAAAACGCCAATTAAAAAAAGGTAAATCCCCAAGATATTAATGCTTACAATAAAGAAGTGATATCAAATGCGATAGGCAAGAGAAAAGTTGATTATTATACAATATCATGAACCATACTAAACATTTCAAATGCAACATCAGCAACTTGCTTGTTGCACTTTAATTATGATCGGGAAGGGCAGAGGGAATTTTTGCTGGCATCAATAGCTTAGAAAGTGTTGGGTGTTTGAAGCATTTCTTAAAATCAGTTAAGATGGGTCTTTTGCTGCTGTAAACCATGGGATTCTGTCTTTTCTTTAGACAAAACTCATATGCCTGGCCTTGTATGTATTAACGTCATCTATGAAGATGGTATCCTATATACAGCAAAACATTTCAAACTCCTGGCTTTTGTTGTGCCCTTTTCTTTTTTCTTTTTAATTAAACATCTGTTTCTTGATTGCAACAATGCACCCTACAGTTATTAAGACTGTCTTGGATCCAATCCCTTTTTATTTACAACTTTTGAGTTATACTCTCAGTTTTAAAAAGTTTATGAAAAGCTCGATCTCAAGTCAACTCAGTATAAAAGATGTTTTGTGAAACAGCTGCCTAGGTGCCATTCACTCATAAAGTCCATGCCATCCAGGAGGTACCTAGCTATTTGCATATAGGTAATTATTAAATGGTAAAATATCTGTTCATTGACATACACTGAAGGCTATTTAACGGGCAGAGTCATCACTATTCTCAAGCTAAGGTGTCAGAATAACTGTTACTATAGATTCCAATTCTTTAAGTAACATGCTCCGTATAATCTAGCGAAACGTACAAAAAAGGTATTTATCTGTTCTGGATGACAAAATCATATCTTAATCTAGAGCGTATCCACATGTTTTAATGGAACAGCAATTAAAGGACATAGTATGCTTATGTTTCAACTTTTCCATAAGTTCCTTCTGGAGGCCTGTAATACTTTGGGAAAGCCTTCAGTTGCAGGGAATTAAACGCATACTTGCGACATCCAACATTCTTCATTGTATTTTCTCGCCGACAACCCTCACTGGGGAAAAAAAACAAGCACAAAAAATGACAGCAGTAAAAAGGAAAAAAAATAAAAGACTTAAAACTAAGATGAAATGAACTGGTTATTTCACAGCATTAAAAAAAAAGAAGGTTGGTTATATTTCATGAGCATTTAATCAATTTGCCAGTGCAAATATTAAAAATGATGACTCATCGTACAATGCTAGTAAGAAGCACACAGAATGGACACATGCTATGCTGGAGTGCTAGTTTTGCATTTCTAAAAAGCAGCAGTGCATCTGRTGAAAAGGTTCTTTTACACGGGTTTCATGTATTTCAGGGTGCGCGGCTGTCCACTTCCGAAGCCGCTTTGCTGCCCAAGGCATCTGAGAGGCTGCCTCAAAGCAGCTCTGCTAATTTGTCAGGACGCTAAATCAAAAAGGAAAACTGCTCATCTCTCAACCAGAGCCTGAAGATGATTTTATTGCTCCCTGTTCCCTGTGAGTATTCAGCAGTTCAGTGATTAAACTTGAAGCTGACACCAAAATAGTGACTTTCCAGGTGTCTTTGCATGCAGAGATGGACGTGAGAGCAAACATACTCTGAAAAAAATGGTCATCATGAAATAATCGCTTTGTGCGGGTGGAAAAACAGACCAGCTGCGTTGGCTGTCCTCACCCCAAGGAAACAAAGCTGTGCAGAACTTGTTTTGTCCCAACTGCTTTGGTGCAACTGCCCCACGGCACTTATAGCTTCTATGCTACAGCTAAAAACTATTATTTCAGATATAAGGCCTCTTTATAAATCTACATCACAGTTCCTTTGACTACATCCATAAACAGACATACACAGAGGAAGCACTACATTTCAAATATATTATAAACCAACTTAGGCTAGCAAGAGAATGCTTTTTTTCTTTTTAATTTCTCTGATAGAGAACTGAAACCTAGACAATAATTTAAAACTACTACTCGATGGCAAAGTGTACAGTACACCATCTTATGGTGGAAATGTCATGTTTCTCTCTTGAGGTTCTGCTGCAAGAATCAGAGGTAAACTGTGATAAACTGATTCAAAAGAAGGATTTGATTTCCCGTTCAGTTTGAAATATTTCTGCTTGATACTTGCTTTTATTTTTTTTTTAATTTTGGTTAAACTTACTGTAACTGTACTATGTACCACCTAACTTAGCTTTATAAAATATTGCAACTTTTTTTTCTTTTTTTTTTCTTTTTCTAAAAGCAGATTAAGTTTGAAATTGTCTCTGTAACATGTTCTGTGACTGTCTTTTATAGACTGGATCCTACATTATTACCCTGTTTCTATGACATAGCTCTCTGCTTYAGAGAAACATCCTCACGAAGGCTATTGCAGTCACAGGGATTCATCACAAAATTGCGCAAAKTCCATTTCAGCCTAGCGATAGGAATATGAAGTTTAAAGAACAGATCTGTTCTGCCAAGTGTGCATATTCAATCCAAAGTGAATCATTGTGCTCCTAACTCATTCCACTGTATCTGAGTATCGCCTGTGTCCAGGCAGGCCATGGAGGTACCTGAAAGCCACATTTCACACAGTGTTTTTCAGGTGCTGTGTCTCTCACACTGTGAATCAGCCCTATGTCAAATTACAGCCCAGGAGCACACGAGCCACAGTCTGGCAGTCTTGTGTTAGACTGGGAATGATGATCTGGGAATGATTCTTTAACCTCGGAAGCCTCTTGTGAGCACTAGGATAGCCTGGATATAATGAGCATGTCTGGTAATACCACGTGGTCTCAAATGGACTGAAGCTTCCTTCATTCTAGAGACTTGAGTCCAGTCTTTAATAGAACCTTAAATACGAGCAGTCACCAACACGCCACCACAATTTCCTTAATATAAAAGCCGATTAATCAAAATATAACTTAACGCTCAAGAATATAGCAAGGATTGCTTATAATACTTATCAACATTCAGTTAAACACAGAAACTCCTACCCAGAGGTTCTTCAGCTCAGTTCCGCACACAAAACGTGGCACGTTCTCACAAAGTTACCGGAGACTCCTCGGAGGCTCAAGCCGTGCTGCCCGGTGCTGCCGGGCACAGCGGTGCCAGCGCACGGCGCCGGCGCTCACCACGCTGCCCCTGCCACCACACAGCGGCCAGCTGCCCGTCACAGGGACCTGGGGAAGGGTCTGGGTCCTCGTAAGGCAGTGACCGCCCCGAGGAAGCGCTTGGCGTCCCCAACCGGAACCGATTTCGCCGCTAACGCTGCAAGGCCGGGGAGTCACTTCAAGAGTCCAGCCTGAGTCTAACAGAGCAGCTTTTGCAAGCATCAGTCTCCTCTGTTGGAGACTCCACAGTGTCTCAAATGAACGTGTCGGGACAGCGCAGACCGAACTCAAAACCGAATGAAATCTCATCCCGACTTAAGTTAAAAGAAGTGAAAAAAATAAACACGTTGCTTTCAAAAAGCCTAGACTTCCATTCTACACAAATGAGGCTTCTTATTGCAGGCTTAATCTTGCCTAATGTTGCCTCACTCCAGGAAAGTCCTCACAGTTTATTTCAAACMGATGAACAATCTCGGGGAGTTTTGGGCAAAAACTCCCGCTCAAGTGACTTGTACATCTTGTTACTACGAAGCCACCACACTCAACACATGGCAAGAACAAGGYCCAAGGCCTACACGACATTCCTTGGCCTAGCAAAAACGGAGGTTTTGGGACCCACAGCAAATGAACCATCAGACAGGATGAAGATCTGGATAAAGACTCAGTGGTACTTGATACCAGCACGGGACATGAGTATGTCCAGTGCTGTCATACCAGGATTTTAAATCTCATCAGCAATAAGGCCTTACCTAAATTAATTCCATCTAAAAATAAACAGCATGAATGCTTTTATATATATATATATATATATTAGTCTTTTTTGTTTTAAAAAAAGGAAAATGAGAAGAACGTTGAGAAAATACCAGGAGATAGTGTACTGTACAAGCAGATCTGCTGAAGAAACACATTTAATCATGCACTTTTATATTAGAARTTAGAAGAGGAAATGGAATATTCACCAAATTGAGTATTCCATCTTATTTTTATACTAAGTGCACTTTTGCAATCGGTTTACCTCTCAGAACCTTTCAAAATCCATTAACGCTGATAAATACTAATAAAACTATAATAATAAAAACTATAGATACCTATGTTTTTTGAGCTAGTTTCTGTGATAATGGTACAAATCACAGGACTAGAAGAGTCCTCCTCAGTCGCCAAGCCTGATCTTCCATCATCTTGGCRCCAAGTAAAAGAAATCCCTGCATGAATTCAGCAAGCTATTTTAAATTTTTTTTGATCAGCTATTGCTATTGACAAACTTTTCCATTGCTACTATTCAGCTTAAATAAGCCTTTCCCAATTTGATGTTATATATATATGATAACGAAATTTCTTCTGCAGTTATTTTGCATGACCAAACAACAGAAGCTTCTTGACCCTCGCCACTGAAATATTAACTTAGTGTCATCCATTTGGCTGTCTCTGAGTCACTCTTGCTCAACACACAGGTTTGTTAAAGCTCCTCAACATCAGAAAATAACAATAGTATTGAACGGAGTATCGTTAACGCAAAGCCCAATGGAAAACCTCAAACCCAACCACTAATAGGGCTGATACATCCCTTCTCTTTCCTGAAATATTAAAGACGAGTGTCTTTAACTTCCAGGATTCAGGGTGAGTTATATAACAGAGCCCCTGAAATGGCTAATGGATCGTTAGCAGGCTCCACTCGTTACACACTCTTCCTAACCACGAGCCACTCTCTTCATGGCTTGGGTACAATCCGAAGTGCAGGTCTACAACCAGGCTGCAGTAATTCTGCACGCAGCGCAGTGCCACAAGTTGGCTTTTAGGGGCACGCTCTTCTACTGAAACATACTCAATCATGAGAAAGGAACRCCACTATGGTTCTACAAACGGCTCAGCACTGGAATTTGGAGGCTATGCTTTGCAATGAAGTAGAAATTTGTCAACTTGCTTAAATAAATTTCTTATAATTTCTTAGAAACCCCACCCTTGTTTTTATTTTTCTCTTCGTACCTTGTAAAAACGAAAGGCAAGATTAGCATACACTTAAATATACAAAAAGATACAAATTYTTTTCAGAGTTCCTTTCTCTGGAATACATGAAACAAGTAACACAAAACTGTATTTGGTAAGAGATCTTCAGGCCGGCTAAAGTAACGAGGTAACAGGCCAATGTCAGACTATGTTACAAGCACTGAAAGCAGAACAATAATTTAAAGATCCAATACAATTCTTTTTGATAAAATAATTTGATGTATATTTACAGTTTAGTACAATAGAGACGTAAAATTGTAAGGCATAATAATAATTCTTGGCAGACAATGCTATGACACATTCCTTTGTCCAGCAGGTACCAAGTGGCAATACACGTTTAAGCACTTTTTTTATAATATATATATATATGTTTTTCTTTTTAAACATTCTCTTCATTTGCAACGTAATCTGGCCACCAGGTATGCTATGCTCAGAAACAGCCACACAATCAGTAAATTGGGGCTGAGAGCTAGTAAAGGAATAGAGTAGAGGAGGCTGGGATCTAGTCTGAAATCTCGGATGGGCACCAAGCCACTCAAGTTCTTCTGGGTGACTATCTCCCGTGTTCCAATGCTGTGAAAAGGAAGAAGTTTGGGAGGAGGGAAAATAAAGCAGAAGGGGAGATGGACATGCAAATGAATGTGTAAAAAGAGAGAGAGCAACACAAGGTGGTCGAGAAAATGAGAAAACATGAAAGAAGCCACAACAAAACCAGAATATGGAGTAAAGAAAGAGTGGGAAAACATCCCAAAAATATATTTCAGCACAATTACAGATATAAGGAGAGGGAAAGAGAATAAAAGAGAAAAATAAGAAAGAAGTACTGTAGTCTACTGAAAATAAACACATGTAGGTTGAACACAAATGGTTTTCCATGTTCATTCTTTCAGATTACCAAGCAATATCCCATGCTGCTCTGCCATGCTTCCGCATGCTGC